CAGTTTTGACTACCATGGTGGTATAATAGGTTCTAAAATCAGGTAAGGTGAGGCCTTCCACGTTGTTCTTCTTCTTAAGTAATTCTTATTCGGGGCCTCGAATAAATTTCTCTTTGTTAAAGCCATCCACTTGTGGTATTTCTGTTAGAGCAGCACTAGATGACTAAGACAGGGACCTTGCCTGAAAAGTAATCTTCCAAAAGGGAAATGGGGTTCTGTTACTAAAAGAAAGGAGGTGAAAACTGAGTGCAAAAACAGACACATCTCCACCTCCGTCTCCCAGTGGCCTTTTTCGATATCAGGAGGCATTCCAATCAAGCCAGGATAGGTGACATAATTTCCCAGGCCCAATGCAAAAATGACTTTTTTTAAAACAAGGACCCCCTTGTTCAAAAATTATTAGCAATATCAAAATGGTGACAGCAGAGCACTAAACCAATGTGGGCTCTTCCTGGGCATGGAACACTGTGTGACCGCACAGGTGGTATGCCCATGGAGCTGACCCCACACCTACCCCAGAATGGAACAAGCACCCCAGGAGAGTAAGCCTTGGTCGGGGTGTTTTAGGGTCTGTTTGTATATGAAATTGGATTAAATGCATTCATGGATGGTAGGGAAGCTAAATTGTAATTTAACATCTGCCCAGCCCTGTGTATAAGCTCTCAGTTAAAGAGCAAAGAAAGAGATGATCACACCCCTTCCGTGTGTATAATAAATCTGGTCAAAGGCAGAATTCAGAGAAGACAGAATCTCAAGGGGCTTTCAACCCACTTCATCTGTAACAGAGTAAGGGGGATGGTAAGTAGGCTTTACGTCTCATGCTGATTCAGACTTGGCAATGCCAGTTGATTATTTAATCATTTTAGTGGTCTGTGCAGTACAATGCATTATCTCCATTTTACACATGGGGTCATCGGGGCTCAATGAGATCCATAGTCATGCATGGCATGTACTCAAGCTGAGGTTGAAAGCTAGGCAGTCTGAACCCAGAGCCAAGTTCATTAGTGCATCACTGAACAAGTCTAATGGGCCTTGGGAGTGCCTGAGTGGTGCAAATGGTTAAGCACTGGGCTATTAACCAAAAGGTTGACAGTTCAAACCCACCCAGAGGTGCATCGGAAGAAAGGCCTGATGATCACAGCCATTGAAAGCCCTTTGGAACAGTTCTACTCTAAAACACACGGGGTTGCCATGAGTTGGAATCGACTCAACAGCAACTAATAATAGGCTTTGGGAACTTGTAAGCAACTGGCTTGGCGAGACCAATAGGTTCACAATGGGTCTGTTGATTTGAGGGGCTTAGAATCCTAGGGACCATGGAGGTTTGATGAGGTACGCCATGAGAAGCAGCTGCAGCTTCACAAGTGGAAAAATGCCAGTGACAAGGGCATTGGAGTAATATAATTCCAGCAATAGGAATGCAACCAGTTACAGACCCAAGGACGGCAGTAGGGAGGCTCAGCCAGGAAAGTCACTTAGTTTGTCTCATCAAAAACCAGGATCTGTCATACATGGCCAATTTCTGAAATGAATCCACAAAGCAGGACCATTTGTCTAAATAATTAAAATGCATTGTAATATGAAAGTCAGAGGGTAAATCCAGTATTCATGTTTACTAATAAAACAGATTAGAATCTTCCAGGTAGCTGAACACATTTGGAAAATGAACTTAATTAAATTTTGAACAGGTTCTTGGTTTGAATTTTATTTAAACTGTTTACACAGTTAAAAAAAAAAAACTTGCTATACATTTTCTACCAAAATGCAAGAAGTGTCGAGACATTTCAAATTAGTAGAGATTCAAAATGCATAAACAAAGGTCCTGTTTCAGCTGCAGAATTACAGAATTTCAGAGCTGTACCATCCATGCCTTGGCAACCAACCAGTCTAATTCAATTTGCAGGAAAAAACCTAACATCCAAGGTTTGTGAAAGTGTCAAGTTTAATGAGATACCTCAGTGAAATTAAGACACTGCTAATCTCATTTCAAAATCAATTTTCCCTCCAGGACAATTCTTGGGAACCTCAAGAAGCTCTCGTTTTGTATAATAAGCAGTATACGCTCAAGGCTTGATATCTAAGTACATTCATATTAAAAAGTCCCTTATAAAATAGGATCTCACAGTGAAGGTGTCCTTGAAACATTCTACCATCTATTGAAGGGGAATATGTTACTTTATATTTGAAATACTTACTAAAGATAGACGTATTTGCTATGCTTGGATATTGAAATATGTAGTGCAGATATGGGAATGGTAAATGGGATGGCCACCACCCATCTGTCAGTCTGTCGTACTGTGATGGCCTGTGTGTTGCTATGATGCTGGAAGCTATGCCATCAGTCTTTCAAATACCAGCAGGGTCATCCATGGTGGACGGGTTTTAGCAGAGCTTCCAGACTAAGACTAGGGAAAAGGCCTGTCTATCTAGTTCTGAAAATTAGCCAGTGAAAACCCTATGGGTCACAACAGAATATTGTGTGGTATAGTGCTGGAAGATGAGCCCCTCCTAGGTTGGAAGGCACTGTAATAGTTGCAACAAGGAACTCAAACATACTGACGATCATGAAAATGGCAAGGGACCGGGCAATGTTTCGTTCTGTTGTACGAGGGGTTGCCGGGAGTTGGAGCTAACTCAGTATCAACTAACAACAACAACAAATGGGCATGGTAAAGGAAAAACAGATCTGCCAAATACCCCAGACTTCCTCTACTTAAAGACAGTGTTTATCAGCGACATTACGTCTCTACAAGATTTTTTTTTGCGGCATTATTTTTAACAGCAGAAGATTGGAAACAACACAAATGCCCCTGGATGGGAGACTGGTTAAATGTTATGGTACATGGTACAATGGTACGTGGTACAGTGGACTAGAGTGCAGTCATGATAAAATAAACATGGCCTTTATATACTAACGGAGCCCTGGTGGTGCAGTGGTTAAGAGCCACAGCTGCTAACCAAAAGGTCAGCAGTTTGAATCCATCAGCCGCTCCTTGGAAACCCTGTGCAGCAGTTCCACTCTGTCCTATAATGTCGCTGTGAGTTGAAATCAGCTCAGCAGTAATGGGTTTGGTTTGGCTTTGAGTTATATATTAATGGGGATTATCTCCAAAATAAATTAAGTGAAAAAGAACAGTGGCTCTAGTATGTCACCTTTACTGTAAAAAAAAAAGAGAGGGAACAAGAATGAATTTACATATTTCCTTGTGTAAGCATGAAACATCTCTGAAAGGATAGAAAGAAATTGATATGATGGTTGCCTACAGGGAGGTTGAGGGCCAGCAGTAGGTAGGAGAGAGAATTTTTACTAGGTACCCTTTAGTGCCTTTTGAATTTTGACCTATATGAATATCTTATTACCTATTAAAATAAATAAAGAAAATATTGTTAAAAGGATAAAATAATAATGTCGATCATCATTATATTGAATACGATGATTACCCAGATCAGGTGATATGTCATGAACTAGATAAATCCATTCTTTACCCAGGGATTTGGGAGCACCTAGACCAGACTGAAGGAGCCCTGGTGGCACAACGGGTTAAGCACTTGACTGCTAAGTGAAAGGTTGGCAGTTCGAACCTACCCTGCAGCTCTGAGGGAATAAGACCTGGTGACCTGCTCCTGTAAAGAATACAGCCTAGGAGACCCAGTGGGGCAGTTCTACTCTGCCACATGGGGTCGCTATGAGTCAAAAATTGACTCAATGGCACCCAACAACAGACCATCCGGGGAGCTCCCGTACTATGCCATTTTTCACAGTGGAAAGTAATGTTCTGCTTTTAGTTTAATGAACAAACACACACATTTGCAAGCCCTCAAAGGGCCCTTCAGGAGCTCCCAATGCTCTTGACAAAGCACAATCATTTTACGGAAAATGGGCAGTACCGACCGGGATTCCAGGCCTTTTGCGTTGCTGGTGGAAAGAAATGACCCAATACTAGATTTCATTTGGTATGCAGATAAAACCCTCTCAATAAATATTCATTGACTGAATGACCCTTCTTCCATTTCTTGAATCATAAAAGCAACATGATGCGTCTTCTGGAGAAACTTGGGGGAGCTTAATTGGTGTCATCAGCTGAGAGATTTCATTTTCTAAGATTAATCAAAGTTGCTACCATCATCTCTATGGTAACAGATGGATCCCTGCTGACCGGAAATGTAGCTCCTCCCGGTGGCTGGGGAAGCTTCGCCTTCGTGGCTGCGGCTTGCCATAGTATCTGGCCTGAAATAATGGCATTAGAGGCAGAATGGAATAGTGGTCTGGGAAAGATAAATAAATACTAAGCATCCTAACAAGGAGCCCTGGTGGCGCAATGGTTAAGTGCTCAGCTGCTAACCAAAAGGTTGAACCCACCCAGCCGCCCCGCGGGGGAAAGACCTAGCAATCTGCTATCTGCTTGCATAAAGATTACAGCCAAGAAAACCCTATGGGGTAGTTTTACTCTGTCACTGGGGTCGCTACGTGTCTGACTGGATTAGAGGGCACTCAACAATAATACCTATCCTAATTAATGAGACTGCCCAGCAAAGAAAATAGCGTGCAATGGTCAGGTCAGAATTGCCGTAATTCCCACTAAGTCAAATGAACAGCACACAACAGCCGTCCTTTTTGCTGAAATGGTTTCTATCCCTAAAAAAAGGGGGGTGAGGGGTGGGGAGGGGAAGGCGGGAAACCCCTGAGGGGAAAAACCATACATTCAATAACCCTTTATTTCTCCACCAAAGCTTCTTGGAGCCCCACTCTATCCACTGCCTATAAGATTTTTAAAAGTAGAAAGTAAGTTTGTTCTTAAAAACAGTAAGTTGATTTCAAGCCCAACCGCCTGAGAAGCGGTGTCCGCGCAGCGCTGTGGGTGGGGTGGTCAGCTAGGAGCGACTGAGGCCACTACTGCCGGAAAGCTGCTTCTTCTGGGGACTCATTCGGCGGGCAGTGTCGGGTGCAGACTGCACGGCGCAGCGCGGGGCCCTGGGGCGAGGGGCGCCCCGGCACCGCCTCACTCCTCCTCCTTCTTCTCCTCCGGGATCTCCCCCGCCAGGATCTGCTCGCTGGGCTCCGGGCCGGGGCTTATGCGGACCCGCACCGAGTGCTCCTCGGGCTCGGCCGCCTCCTCCGCGCCTCCGTCGGGCTTCCCGGGTGAGGCCGGTGGTGGAGAGCTCGGGGCCGGGGGATCCAGAGGCGCGGGCTCGGGGGGCGCAGGCTGCTCCGGAACAGCCTCAGCCGGGGCCGCAGGCTGCACCCCGCTGGCCGAGCTCGCCTCTCCGGAGGCGTCTTCCGCGCTCTTGCCCTGGAATCAGCGAAGAGACTGATGAGGCACGGATGGAAAGTTCAAGGGATCTACAAACTTGGTGGCCCCATCTTGTCCCTGCCACCTCAGCCCCTAAGGGTGAGATGGCGGAGCACGCAGGGGATAAAATCTAGCGGCTCAGGGGGGAGCCACATCAGGCTTATTTGGTAAAAATAAAACATGTTACTGTGACGCTTAAGGATTCAAAGTCCCTGTTGGATTTAGTGAAAGGTCTTCGGGATATTTTAGATTTCTGTTGAGTTGCAGGGGCTGGACGCCGGGGTGAAGTTGCCAATTCAAGGGCAGAGCCTCCTCTCAGAGCTATTGTGGGAGGAGAGGCCATCGAATGCACAGGCTGTGACCATGAATGCATTGAATGTACAGGGCCACCAAGTAGGACCAAGGCTCAACTGGCCTGGCCTGCCTTGCCCTGCCCAAGTTTCTGGGGAAGAGCGCTGTTGGTGTAAGTGAGAAAAACTCTAAGCAAACAAGGTAAAAGGTGATGAGGGGAGGAGCAGCTGGAGGTATGGCCACCTTTCTGGAAGGTCTCAAAGGTTGAGATATGGGGCTGAGCACCACTGGTGTTAGGTTGAGGTGAGCCACGAGTTTGGGGACTTGATGAGCGACCAGTCTGCGGTCCCTCACGCATCTGCAGTTTGTCATACTGTGGGTGCTTGTATGTTGCTGTGATGCTGGAAGCTATGCCATCGGTATTCAAATACCAGTAGGGTCACCCACAATGTACAGGTTTCAACTGAGCTTCCAGACTAAGACAGACTAGGAAGAAGGACCTGGCAGTCTACTTCTGAAAAGAATTAGCCAGTGAAAACCTATGAATAGCAGGGGAACATTGTCTAATATAGTGCCAGAAGATGAGCCCCTCAGGTTGGAAGGCCCTCAAAATACAACTGGGGAAGAGCTGCCTCCTCAAATAGAGTCGACCTTAATGACATGGATGGAGTTAAGCTTTTGGGACCTTCGTTTGCTGATATGGCACAACTCAAAATCAGAAGAAACAGCTGCAAACATCTGTTAATAATCAGAACATGGCATATATGAAGTATGAATCTAGGAAAATTGGAAATCATCAAAAATGAAATGGAATGCATAAACATCGATATCCTAGGCATTAGTGAGCTGAAATGGACTGGTATTGGTCATTTTGAATTGGACAATCATATGGTCTACTATGCCGGGAATGACAACTTGAAGAGGAATGGCATTGCATTCATCGTCAAAAAGAACATTTCAAGATTTATCCTGAAGTACAACCCTGTCAGTGATAGGATAATACCCATATGCCTACAAGGAAGACCAGTTAATATGACTGTTATTCAAATTTACGTGCCAAAGATGAAGAAATTGAAGAATTTTTACCAACTTCAGCAGTCTGAAATTGATCAAACATGCAATCAGGATACATTGATAATTACCAGTGACTGGAATGCGAAAGCTGGAAACAAAGAAGAAGGATCAGTAGTTGGAAAATATGGCCTTGGTGATAGAAACGACGCCAGAGATCGCATGACTGAATTTTGTAAGACCGACTTTTTCATTGCAAATACCTTTTTCCACCAACATAAATGGTGACTATACACATGGACCTTGCCAGATGGAATATACAGGGATTAAATCGACTATATCTATGGAAAGAGATGATGGAAAAGCTCAGTATCATCAGTCAGAACTAGGCCAGGGGCCGACTGCGGATCAGACCATCAATTACTCATATGCAAGTTCAAGCTGAAACTGAAGAAAATTAAAACAAGTCCAATAGAGTCAAAGTAAGGCCTTGAGTATGTCCTACCTGAATTTAGAGACCATCTCATGAATAGATTTAGTGCATTAAAGATTAATGACGAAAGACCAGATGAGTTGTGGAATGACATCGAGGACATCATACATGAAGAAAGCAAGAGGTCATTAAAAAGACAGGAAAGAAAGAAAAGACCAAAGTGGATATCAGAGGAGACTTTGAATTTGCTCGTGAACGTCGAGTAGCTGACGCAAAAGGAAAAAAATGATGAAGTAAAAGAGCTGAACAGAAGATTTTAAAGGGCGTCTCGAGAAGGTAAAGTATTATGATGACATGTGCAAAGACCTGGAGATAGAAAACCAAAAGGGAAGAACACACTCAGCATTTCTCAAGCTGAACGAACTGAAGAAAAAATTCAAGGTTTGAGTTACAATACTGAAGGATTCTACAGGGAAAATATTAAACAACGCAGGAAGCATCAAAAGAAGATGGAAGGAATACATAAAGCATCACTATACCAAAAAGAACTGGCTGACATTCAACCATTTCAGGAGGTAACTTATGATCAGGAACCTATGGTACCGAAGGAAGAAATCCAAGCTGCACTGAAGGCATTGGTGAAAAACAAGGCTCCAGGAATTGACAGAATACCAATCGAGATGTTTCAACAAACAGATGCAGGGCTAGAAGTGCTCACTTGTCTGTACCAAGAAATTTGAAGACAGTTACCTGGCCAACCAACTAGAAGAGACCCATATTTGTGCCCATTCCAAAGAAAGATGATCCAACAGAATATAGAAATTATCGAACAATAACATTAATATCACATGCAAGCAAAATTTTGCTGAAGATCCTTCAAAAGTGGCTGCAGCAGTATGTCAACAGAGAACTGCCAGAAATTCAAGCCGGATTTAGGAGAGGACATGGAACCAGGGATATCATTGCTGATGTCAGATGGATCCTGACTGGAAGCAGAGAATACCAGAAAGATGTTTACCTGTGTTTTATTGACTATGCTAAGGCATTTGACTGTGTGGATCATAACAAAGTATGGATAACATTGTGGAGAATGGGAATTCCAGAACACTTAATTGTTCTCATGAAGAACCTGTACAGCAATCAAGAAGCAGTCATTCGAACAGAACAAGGGGATACTGCATGGTTTAAAGTCAGGAAAGGTATGCATCAGGGTTGTATCCTTTCACCATACCTATTCAGTCTGTATGCTGAGCAAACAGTCCAAGAAGCTGGACTATATGAAGAAGAACAGGGCATCAGGATTGGAGGAAGACTCATTAACAACCTGCGTTATGCAGATGATACAACCTTGCTTGCTGAAAGTGAAAAAGACTTGAAGCACTTACTGATGAAGATCAAAGACCACAGCCTTCAGTATGGGTTACACCTCAACTTAAAACAAAAATCCTCGCAACTGGACCAAT